GGGCTGGATCTTCAGAGACACTAAGCACTGAAAAGATTATGATGTACCTCCTTTCACCCACCTCCTCCCTACCATATCCCTAATGTAGAATTCAAACTCAAAATAATACTAAACCTACAGTACACAAAAAGAAATTAAACACATTTTCTATTTTTCCCATGGTAATTACTTTAATGCTTTTCTTAATAGATCAAACATCATAGTCTTTCCAAAATTTGTTGTCACATTTTGAGTGCCCCTGCATGGTTGGTACCTTAAATGTGTGTTTGGTCCACCTAATAGTAACTCATCTAAGCCAAGTCAATCAGCTGGCTCAGAGGATCTCAGGCCATATGCCCAGAACATTCAAAGCACCCAAAGCACTTGCTTATCTGCACATTATCATCCTCTGGGAAGAGCTAAGACCAACCTGGGAGCTATCTAATCATAAGAAAGTGTGGTAGGGTCCCCTCCCTAAGGAAAGAAAAAAAAAAAAAAAAACCTCAAGGCAACCTGGCTATAGGTGACAACATTCCTCACAACGATGATGATGACGTTGTAACATGAGACCCCCTTAATCAGGCTACATGTTTGTGTGTTACCATATATGGGAGACAAAGAAGTAGAAAATATATAAACTGAGCATTCAGGGCTCAGTTCTTTGGGTACAACCCAACTGAGCAGTACCAGCAGGAATAAAGTTGCTTCCTGGAAAGAAAAGCCTCAGTGTCATGAGTCTGTGTTAGAATCCTGCTACAAAAGGAATTTTTTGTTTACTTAACTGCAATTCTAACTTATATGCCAAGTACTTTCTATGCAAACATTCGCTTGCCTCCTCTGCCCATGCCTTACTCAAGGATTGCCCCATCTGTTCTCAGTTCCATAGCACCTAGGGTTGCCATATACAGCTATGCCCACCGGAAGGAGGTGGCTGGGGATCCTATAAAAATTCTCCTTCCATCAGGCCAAGGCATTGGCTACACACTGTTATGTTAGATTGCCTCCTTATATAAATGTTCACTATAAAGGGGAAAGAAAGATAATTTAGTCTTTCCTCTAGCATAGTAATTCTCAACTAGGGATGATTTTAGTCCCCATGCGATACTAGCAAACCAAATTCAGCAACACACAAAAAGGATGACATACCATGATTGAGGGGAATCTATCCTAAGAATGCAAGGTTGGTTCAACATGTGAATATGCATTAATTTAACATACCATCTTAATACAATAAGGAACAAAATCCACATGATCATCTTAATAGATGCAGAAAAAAATGTCAAAATTCAACATCTTTTCATGATAAGAACTCTCAACAAACCAGAAATAGAAGGGAACTTCCTCAACCACACAAAACACATCTATGAAAAACTCACAGCCAACATCATACTTAATAACTAAAGACTGACTGCTTTCCTCCTTAGATCAGGGACAAGATGAGGATGTACAGTATCACCACTTCTATTAAAAAATGTACTGAAGGTTCTAGCTTGAGAAATTAGGCAAGAAACAGTAGTAAAATCCATCCAGAATAAAAAAGAAGAAGCAAGACTATATTCACAGATGACACAACCATGTGTATGGAAAATCTTAAGGGATCTATAAAAAAATTATTAGAACTGATGAATGAATTCAGCAAGGTTGCAAGATACAAGGTCATTATACAAAAATAAATTATATTTCTGTACTAATATATTGAATGAATAATCTGATTATGAAATTAAGAACAAATTCCATTTTTATGAGCATCAAAAATAATAAAATACTGGGGCGCCTCGGTGGCTCAGTCAATTAAGTGTCTGACTCTTGATTTCAGCTCAGGTCACGATCTCATGGTCATGAGATCAAACCCCACATGGGTCTCCATGCTGGTCGTGGAGCAAGCTAGGATTCTCTCTCTCCCTCTCCCTCTCCCCTGCTCACTCTCTCTCTCTCTCTCTCTCTCTCAAAATAAAATAAAATAAAATAGAACAAAATACAATACAATACAATACTTAGGAACAAATTTAACAAAAGAAGTGCCAGACTTGTACATTGAAAACTGCAGTACGTTGTTGAAAAAATTTTGAAGCAATCTAAATAAATTATAATAAGATATACAAATGGAAGATAAAAACAAAAAAGATGCTCAACGTCATTAGTCAATAGGGAAGTGCAAATCAAAACCACAAGGAAATATTACTCTATACCCACTAGGAGGGCTATAATAAAGACAAAAACAGGCATTGGTGAGGATATAGAGAAATTGAAACCCACATTGCTAGTGGGAATGTAAACAGGTGCAGCCACTTTAGAAAACAATTTGGCAGTTCCTCAAAAAGTTGGTCATAGAGTTACCATTTGATCCGACAATTCCACTCACAGGTGTATAACCAAAAGGACTGAAAATATGTTCACACAAAAACATGTACACTAATGTTCACAGCAACATTAGTCATAATAGCCAAAAAAATGGAAACAAGCTAAGTGTTCACTGGATACACGAAATGTGGCATGTCTGTACAATGCACTATTATTCAACTATAAAAAGCAATGAGGAACTGATACATGCTACACTACAGAGGAGCTTCAAAAACATTATGCAAAGTAAAAGAACACAGGTATGAAAGGCCACATGTGTATGATGCTGCAGGGTCAGAAAATGTATCCCTTCTTCTCTTCAAAGTTCTTGGGCTACTCTAATATTTAAATTGATATAAAATGGATTGACAGGAGAAAAACATATTTAATTTCATATGTAGGGGGGCCCCAAAGGTATGAGACTCAAGGGCAAACCAGTTGTGGCTTGTATGCCTGCCTGAGCAAAGGAATAGGATATGGACCTGGGGCTTCGAAGGGGAGGTGGGTAATTCATAGAGCAGGTATTCAGTAACCATATATTTACCCTGACATACAGATACGTCTTTCAGATAAAAAGAGCTATCTGATTGGGGCGCCTGGGTGGCGCAGTCGGTTGAGCGTCCGACTTTGGCCAGGTCACGATCTCACGGTCCGTGGGTTCGAGCCCCGCGTCAGGCTCTGGCCTGATGGCTCAGAGCCTGGAGCCTGTTTCCGATTCTGTGTCTCCCTCTCTCTCTGCCCCTCCCCCGTTCATGCTCTGTCTGTCTCTGTCCCAAAAATAAATAAACGTTGAAAAAAAAAATTAAAAAAAAAAAAAAAGAGCTATCTGAGGTAATAGCCCTCTTTCTGGGCAGGCCCCCTGTCTAAATTCTTTTAGGTAGTTAAGGGAGAGGTAAAAGTTTTTCTTGAGTCTGCAACATTTTGATTGACTGCAGCTCAAAATAATCCACATGCCAAAGTGGCACAATTTGGGGTGTCTGCTACCCTTCAATTCCATTTGTATGAAATGTTCAGAATAGGCAAGTCCTTAAAAAAAAAAAAAAAAGTAGATATTAGTGGTTTCCAGGGACTGAGGGAAAGGAAAGGGGGAGTAAATGCTAACAGATTCCTTTTGGGAGTGATGAAAATGTTCTTGAATTAGATAGTAGTGATGGTTGCACAATCTCATGAATATACTAAAAAACACTGGATTGCACACTTTAGAAGCATGAATTTTATGGTATGTGAATTATATCTCAATACCATTGTTATTTTTTAAATGATGGTACCTGCGGAAGGGCACAGGAACAGACTCAAAAGAGCTCCCAGAGGCCTAAGCTTGGACAGTATGAACAACAAAGTAAAAAGCGATAGCATTGGATTCTAACCCATAGAATAAAATAAATATCCATGAGTACACACTGATATAAAGGAAAGAAAGAAAGAAAAAGAAAAGGAAGGAAGGAAGGGACAAAGGGAGAAAGGAAGGGGAGAGACAGCCCTTCCTTACCACAGAATTCCAATTTCAAAATATAGGAGAAATGGAAATAATCACCACTAGGCAAACAACAGAGTAATATTTGCTGTAAGTGACACCCATTGATGAACGCTAATATCACTAGGTGGAAGTAGGATAAACAGGACGTGTGCAAAATCTCAAGGTGTCTCCCATAAGATACCCATCAATTTAAAAGAGGAAAATAATAACTTTACCGCAGAGAAACCTGACAGGCCCCTCCTTAAGTAAGAGGTCAAAGCTAGCATCAATGGGGGCACCTGGCTGGCTCAGTCACTAGAGCACGTGACCCTGGATCTTGGGGTTGTGAGTTCAAGTCCCATGTTAAGTGCAGAGATTTCTTTAAAAAAATAACATCTTAAAAAAAAAAAAGTTAACATCACTATTTGTTAAGTCATATCAACATCATGTTTCCCCTTATTTGATGCACTGACAAAAATGTATTTCTTCAATCTAATCATGTGAAAGTATCAAACAAACCGAGGGACATTATACAACATAGCTGACCAGTACTCTTCAAAAGCGTTAAGGTCGGGGCACCTGGGTGGCGCAGTTGGTTAAGCGTCCGACTTCAGCCAGGTCACGATCTCGTGGTCTGTGAGTTCGAGCCCCGCGTCAGGCTCTGGGCTGATGGCTCGGAGCCTGGAGCCTGTTTCCGATTCTGTGTCTCCCTCTCTCTCTGCCCCTCCCCCATTCATGCTCTGTCTCTCTCTGTCCCAAAAATAAATAAATGTTGAAAAAAATTAAAAAAAAAAAACAAAACAAAAGCGTTAAGGTCAAGAAAGACTGAGGACCTGTCACCATTGAAGGAGACTAAGGAGAAATGACATGAGCTCCTGAATTGGATCAAGAAAAAGAACATTCGAAAGTCAGATTAGGTCCCTAGTATAGTTAAAAGTATTATGTCAATGTTAATTCTCTGGTTTCAATAATGGCACTATGGTCATGTAGACTTAAAATTAAAGGAAACTGGGTAAAGGGTTAATGGAACTCTCTGTACTATTTTACAACTTTCCTGTAAATCTCAAATTACTTCAACATAAAAGGTTTAAAAACTTTTATTTAAACCCCTATTTCTAGAGTTATTTTTCTCTGAAAGTCAGTTATGGATTCCGTCTCTGCTTTATAGGTTGCTGACAGAATAATATGAAAAGCCGCAACCCAGTGACATCACAGAGCGTGGTCTTGGAAACATCAGGTTTTAACATTTTCCCTGCCACATCGCCTTACTTATATACATTTTGGCCAGCAGATGGCAGCACTCAACCAAGGTTATTTTCAGCAAAACTCCAGACAAAACCTGAGATTGCAAAGAGGGGAGGTAAAACAATGAGACATCCTCAACCCAGGAGTTGAAGGTGACAATGTCATTATATGATGTACAGTCACTATAGGGAGATGCCATTTTTATTGGCACTTAAGTGATGAGGCAGGAAGGAAAGAACTTGTAAACAGTGAGGTAAGGCTTGGAGGCAAATTATCTACCCCACCCTATCCCCAGCCTGCCCCCACACCCAGCCTGGGGCATCAAAGAGCCCTGGGCACTGCGTCCACTGGGTGCTAATGCCACGCTGTTGAAATTATAACAAAGGATGGCTTGCAAATATTTTTTAAGCTTTCAAAGAATGAATTACAAGGAAATGATAAATTATTAATATTATAAGACGTTTAATCATTTTTAAATACAACTAATAGCATTTTTTTTTTAACTGTAGACTTGGAAGAAACTCCACTTGGTTCTCTCTCTCCTCTCCTCTGTCTTCTCCCCCAAAGCCCAGAACTGCTCCCATGAAAGTCTGATACCCGACCCCCTTATCTCAGCCATCTTTACTAGTTGCTGAGCCCCAGGGCAGGCCAGAGACTGGTTTAAAACACCACAGCTAGCAGGTGCCAGAGCTAGGACTTAAAGACAAGAATTTGGATAAGCCCAGTCCTTCCACTGGAACGGAAACTGGTTCTGAGCTCATGCCATTTATTTGCAAAATGAGTGGGCTCAAAGGTAACAGGGACCTGGGCACCAAGGATTCCCTGATGAAGGTGATGTGCTAAGCCAAACCCTTCCCTCAATGGTTCAGACATATAAAATATGTATTGTAATGTTTTCTAGTCTGATTTTCCTAGACTGAGGATTTTTGTTCCTCATTCCACTACTCCACCCACCTAACCTTTTCTTTCTCCCATTGAAGTAGGAGGGAGGATAATGGTTGTGAAATGTAAAACCCAAAGCTTCTGACCAGAGCTTCCTGCTTCTTCTGAAGCTTCTCCCAGAGTGACCTCAATCACTAGGCTTGAAACCAAACAAACAAAAAAAGAAATCTATTTAAAGATATCCTTTCTACCACTTCTAATCCATAGCCTACTGCTAATGGACAGACGGGCATTGTGGTGTCTGCTCAGAGTCCCCCAGCAACATGAAAACACCCAGTTAACACTTACTGCCTGGCATCCTCAGACATCCTTTCCCCCTCCAGCCCTCCCAGCCCGTTCAGCAAAGCAGCAGATTGGATGTGTAGAAAGACATGGCCTTCAGAATCAGCCAGACTCAGCGGGGCTTCCTGGGGCCTAGGCTTGAGAAATACTAAGACTGACAGAGATGGGGTTAAAGGATCCCAACAGGAGCTGTTCCTGAGTTTCTGGTACAGGCCCAGGTTGGGGGTCACTGCAGGCACCAGCCAGCCCAGGGGCCCACCTAACTTGTTTCTGTCTTCCCTTCCAACCCAGAATCCTTGCAGTTCATTTTGACCCACAATATCCCAGAGACAGACCTTTTGTATTGCTTTGGAGCCTCTTCCCACATCTGCAGCTGAATGTGACAGGATGTGGGTAAGAGGACTTAGATACTGCGATGCAGGAATCCCTGGCTTTACATAACACAAGCTCTGCTCTGCTGACGGTGCAAAACTCAATACAAGAAAGAAGCAACTCAAGAAAGACACGCATGGCTGTGAACATTTTGATTTGTTGTAATTTCCTCCCCATACCTCACCCCCACGTGTCAGTGATAACACTTGGCTTTAACCAGAAGGAAAAGAAAAATGAAGCACAGTCCTGTACCCTACTCTGATCTGGTAGCCTTCATTTTAAGAACTCAATCAAAGTCTGGTGGTGGAAGGAGGGGGATGAGTTGAGGGGATGGTGACGACACAGTTTGTTTTTTAACTTCAGTATACATCTTTTTAAAACAAGAACATTTTTCATTTCATTGTCTGCCCCACTGTCCCAGCCATGGCAGGGGAGCTCTGTGAGGGTCTCAGGGGCCTAGAGGCCTGGGGGGCTTGGACCCAACGCTGCACCAGACTAGGGGGTAGGGCCTGGCCCAGCTGAGGTCTCCTGTTTGAAAGGAGAAAGTGGGTGCTAGGGTGTGCTAGGAAGTGTCTGGGCTGTGGCTCCTGGGTTGACCCAACCCATCCCAATGCTCCCATCTGCCTCTTGGATGCTCTCTCTCTCTCTCTCTTTTTCCGTTGATGCTTTGCATTTCTCTCTCCAGTTCTTTGCCTAGCTTTGGCTCTCTCTCCTCTGGCTCTGTGCCTTTCTTCTTACTGATTCTGCTGATCTGGGTCCTGGTCGTTTCTCCCTGGGGCTGACCCATCTGCTTCACTCCTCTGTGTCCCTGGTTCCTTTGGACCCCACACTGCTGATCCTGCAGAATGTGTCCCACAAGACCCCGCTGCCCTAGGGCATCCGGGCCAGCAATGTGATGAGGATTCGTAGCGTCATTCCTGTCAAGGCTGGCAGGTTTTATGTGAGCCTGCTGTTTAGCCAGGTGCAGGGTGGTGCCTCTGCCCTGCATTTCAACCCCCGGGCTGGATGAGTCTGTAGTGGTCTTCAACACCCTGGTGCAGGGCACCTGGGGCCGAGAGGGGAGTGGCACAGGCATTCACTTCCTGCACGAGACAGCCTTTCCGCGTGCTCCTCACCAACGCGGAATAAGGGCTCAAGGTGGTGGTCAGCGATCCTGGGTGCCACCACTTCCGCTACCAGATACGCCCTCGAGTGCGTGCTTCTTGGAGGTGGATGGGGACCTGCTGCTGTAATAGGGGAAGCTCTGAGCCAGCCCTGGAGGGTGCACCGCGACGGTGGGTAGCAAATAAAGTTCAGCCCATTAACAAAGTAAGTAAATAAAAAAAGAACGTTTTTTATAGTCAAAATAACATTTTCACATTGAACCAAATTAAATTATATAAATATATGCCTTAATGTATAATTCCCAGTTAGAATTCAGATTTCTCAAATTGTCCTTAAAAATGTCCTTTATAGTTGTTCATCTTAAGTAGGTTCCAGGGGTGCCTGGCTGGCTCAGTCAGAAGAGCATGCAGCTCTTGATCTGGAGGTTGTAAGTTTGAGCGGTGTAAAATTACTTTAAAAGAAAATTTTTCTAAAAAATAAAGAAAGAAGAGGACGCCTGGGTGGCTCAGCTTAATAAGCGTGGGACTTCGGCCCAGGTGATGATCTCCTGGTTGGTGAGTTCGAGCCCCATATTGGGCTCTGCACTTTCAGTGCAGTCTTCTTGGGCTTCTACACCCCCTCCCGTCTCTGCTCTTTCTGCACATGCTCTCTCTTTCTCTCAAAATAAATAAACTTTAAATAAATAAATAAATAAATAAACAAACAATTAGTAGGCTCCAATAGCGGGACCACACATTGCACTTGTTTATTTCCCTATTGTCTCTTAATCTCCAACATTCCCTTTTTTAATGCTTCTGACTTGGAGACTTGTGATCAGTTGATCTGGAAAATGCCTGCCTCCAGGGTGTGTTTGATGACTTCTTCCAGATGTGGCTTAGCTTGTTGCTTTATCCGTGAAGTCTCCTATAACCCGGAAGTTAGATCTAAAACAGAGATTCCGGGGGCGCCTGGGTGGCGCAGTCGGTTAAGCGTCCGACTTCAGCCAGGTCACGATCTCGCGGTCCGTGAGTTCGAGCCCCGCGTCGGGCTCTGGGCTGATGGCTCGGAGCCTGGAGCCTGTTTCCGATTCTGTGTCTCCCTCTCTCTCTGCCCCTCGCCCGTTCATGCTCTGTCTCTCTCTGTCCCAAAAATAAATAAAAAACGTTGAAAAATAAAACAGAGATTCGGGTTAACTTTTTTTTTTTTTTTAATTTTAGAGAGATCGAGAGCACAAGCTAGGGAGAAAGGCAGAGGGAGAGTGAGAGAGAGAGAGAGAGAGAGAGAGAGAGAGAGAGAGAGAGAATCTTAAGCAGGCTCCACACTCAGCATGCAGTTTGACAAAGGGTTCAATTCAGGACCTTAGGTTCATGACCTGAGCTGAAATCAAGAGTCGGTCACTCAACTGACTGAGCCACTTAAGCACCCCTGGGTTAAATGTTTTTAAAGAGCCAGCATTCTAAGAGGCACCTGGCTGGCTCAATCAGTAGAGCATGCGACTGTTGATCTCAGGGTTGTAAGTTTGAGCCCCATGTTGGGTACAGAGATCTCCTAAAAATAAAATATTTTCTTCTTAAAGTGTCAGAATTCTAAGTATGTTTTTATAAAATGGAGAAAGTGTCTCACAGAAAGACTGAATGACATAAATGACGATTGTATAAAGTATCATTCACGTATCAACTGGTACTGCTCAATTAGACTGCATTTATCTTAGTCCCATGAAACACAAAACCTACTTACTTATTCATTATATGGATCAGAGTCTACTTATAATTCTACCTTTGGAATCTCATAAGTCACAAATATATGCTCTGATATGGCTTGGAAGAAACCCACATAAAAGAAATTAGAATATTTAAATCTTTTACAGGAAACACCTGTTTTTTTCTTGGGAGCCTGATCTGTTTACATTTTCTGATTCACAGCCCTGTTCTGACCCCACCCCTGGATCTGATCCTGGTCCAACCGTCCACTTCACACCTGCTCTGCCTGGTCCCTCCCTCAGTCCCAGCCCCATAAGTAGAAGATTGGACATTTGAAGTTTTACCTGTTCCCAAAGTTTACAAGAGCTTCCAATTTCCAAACTTAATTTACCCGCAAATCTAAATATTTTACCATGTTTTGTGGAATAAAGAATTTGTTCTATAAACATGTGATCTACTCAAACAAGCCCCCTTAAAGTGATCTCAGATATTTCTTCTGTTTAAGAAAGTGGAGCCTCTGGATCCTTTTAAGACAGGATAACCCTGGGGGTGCCTGTGTGGCTCAGTCAGTTGAGCATCTGACTTCGGCTCAGGTCATGATTTCCCTGTTCATGAGTTTGAGCCTCAAATCGGGCTTTCAGCTGTCAGCACAGAGCCTGCTTTGGATCCTCTATCCTCTTCTCTTTCTGCCCCTCCCCTACTTGCACTCTCTCTCCCAAAAATAAATAAACAATTAAAAAAAAAAAAAAAGGATAGCTTGAGCCTGTTATGATGGTCATGTAACACTGAACAGCAGCGGGGAAGGATGTGCTCCATCTCCAAGCATACCCTCAGAATAAATCAGTCGATTGAAGAAACCTAGGAGGCCAAAAAAAAAAAAAAAAAAAAAAAAAAGTGGAGATTGGAGAGACACAACTGTGTGTACACATGTAGGTAAGAAACAAAGGGAAAGGCTATAGGGGTATACCTATCTTACATCTGCCTGAGTCTGACTAGTATGACTGCAGAGAGATTGAAGGTATGGGGTGGGAGGAAGACTAATTTTAATGTATAGCCTTTTGAACTATCTGTGTTTGTTTTGTTCTGTTTTGTTTTGTTTTTTACTGTGTGGATATATGACTTTTTCAACAACTACAGGTTGTTTTTTCTTTGTTTAATGTATTGATATATGTTACCATTCTTGGGAGGGTTTGCAAATTCACATGTCTTCAGCTAAAGGCATCTATCAGCAATAGAATTTCAGGTGCTGGTTGTTAGAATAAGGAAGGTATCTTGCCCGGGGGAAAGCGTTTCTCAATTCTTCTAAAATTTCTATGATAGCTCAAGACTGTCTCCACTATGCTTCTGGGGGAGCTGTGTGATGGGCTATCTTTGTATTTGGGCAGCTTTCCAGAAACAGAATGCCCTGCTCAGGAGGGTGGCTGTGGCCTTATCCGCTCCTCTCCAAGGTAAAGCCCTACTCTCCCCCAGCTAGAGCAGAGAGAGGTATTTTTAACCTCGGTGTTGGCTTACACAAAGGTTCAGGTATTCTCTGTGGTGTACTATGAGACAAGAAAGCTGAGATCTGACACTTAGACTCATTTGCCCTACCTCAATGTGCTGGTTTTATGCACCTTGGAGAATTGGACTATAAAAGCTGTAATAAGTGAAAACTATTTATTACAGTTCCCCAGAAACCCTTTGGATATCATATTCCTTTGTTTCTGACACAGAAGTGTAGTGCAGGGATGGGCAGCTCACTCCACCCCCACCCCCGTGGGGAAGGGGATAGAAAAATTACCTGCACATCACCTGCCTTAACTAGACCAGGAAGAGAAACCAGATGTGGGTCTATTACAAAAGAACTAGAATTACAGGTAAGTTATTTAGGTCCTCTTCAGAAGGTGGCATGCATTAGTCATAAGATCTAATAGCATGTGCATGAGACAAATCAAGTCAACAGGAAATTGATCATGTTTTCATGAGATGAAGACAGAAGTTGAAATATGTGTGCTACACAAAAAGATTTGTAGGAATTGGGGGTTGTGGGGGTTCTTTTTTCCACAAAATGAGTCTGAAGGGGTATGGATTTACAGATTTATTAACAAAAGAGGGGTACAAATATCACTTGAGTAAATATATACCCCTATAAGTCACCACCTACACAAGTGCTGGGCTAGAAAGCAACTAGTCTGGGCCCATTTGGGGATAATTGTCTCTTCCCTTAAGAGAAAGGAAGGTAAACTGAAGCAAGCTGTGAGTTTGTTTCAAACAAACACATCACACAATAGGAAGATAAGTCTATGGAAACCATCAAAATTCTAATTATGAGGCTATGTGATTCTTTAATTTGATGGCCTTTCAGAAAATGGAGCCCATTGAAGAATCTAAATCAAATTCAGTCCCGGTTTTTTGGATTGGCACTGGTCTAGGAATAAACTTGCTCCTAGCAGTCTCCCAGATCATAGTTAACTAAGAACTGGCCACTCCTGTA